GGCACTTCTGGAGATTAATATATATAAAAGATTTGAAAGACTTACCAAAAACTTTATTTTCTTTTAATTTAAAATTGCTATATTTCACAAACACATGAAAAGAAAGGCCATAAAACTGATACAACAAATTGGCACATGTTTGAATGAATTAGTAGAAATGAAAACAACTCATCTATGGGCCTTCTTATACAGATTATTTGTGAGCAGGGTTTGAAGAAATTAAATGGCGCGGGTCTCTCCTTCATGGTGCAATAGGTTAATGCTCAGCACTAAGAAACTTTTTGAAGCCTCTGCTGTGACCCGGGATCAGAGAGACCCACATGGCACAGCAGATCTCTCCTGGCCCTCCAGCTGCTCCCTTCAGCAGTTTATTTCTATACATCTGCCTGTTCTGCTCTCCACTCTGTCTTTGGTGAAGCCTCTCACCATCACTGCACCTCTGACTTGTACCCCAGTTCTGTATGCATAAATAAATAAATATTTAAAAAAAAAACAAGGAAATTAAACAGCATGGCTTAAGAGTAAAAGGTAATAAAAACAAGCATATGCCCAGCATTGATATTAGAATAAGGATTGTTAGAATAAGTAAATCACAGAGTGGTAAATAAATTGATTAGCTTATCTGGAAAACAGGATTTGTTTGGGAAATGATAAGAGCTGAAGTGAAATAGATATTTGATTCCTGGTGTTTTAAATGTCAAATTGGAATTTGAATTTAATGAGGAAGCAATTCATAGATTTACAGAATTTTGAAACAGGACAACCCTTTAGTTTTATACCTTCCCTTTAGAGAAAACAGACTTTGCTGAGATTCATGGCTATTAGGATAATGCTACTTGGGATTTTAAAAAAAAAGATTTATTTATTTATGCATAGAAGATCTTGGTTGTAGGCCAGAGGTGGGGGTGGAGGAAGGGTGAGAGGATTTCCCAGAGACAGAGTAGAGGGGCAGAACAGGTAGATTGACTGAAATACACTGCTGAGGGGAGCAGTGGGAGATACAGGAGAGATCTGCTGTGAACTAAGTGGGTCAGCTTCTTGGCTGGGGATCAAACTCCTGCTGAAGTGGAAGCTGATAGTTTGTTAGTGCTGAGACTTAACCCCTTGCACCACCAGAGAGGCCCATGATTTCCTTATTAAGTGTTTTTTGTATTATCCGGCTACTCAGTATAATGGTGCTTTATTGATCAGGAGCAGGTGAGCTCATGAACACAATGATAGCCTCTGCTATCGATGCACGAAGTCACTCTTGCAGCCCTTCTTAATGTCATGTTTTTAGGAAGATATGAAATATAGGCATCCTGTAGACTCTTCTTTGGTACCTGGGAAACACATTATCGTCTCTAAAATGGGGCAGTGAAGACTCTATTTCCTTAATTCTCTGTTAGCAGACCTGGCACTGGCATATCTATTTTCTCCTCTCCCCTGTGTCTTTTGTTCCTAAGATAGGGAGTTATTCCTAGGAATCTAAAATGCCTTTAGAAACTTTTAATCTGAGTTTCTTGTGTATTGTTTCATGGTTAGAAACTTTAGAAACATTAACAAGCTTCATATTGTAGATATTTTGCTTTGCCAGATAGACCTGGAACGCTATCAGCTGCCATTGTCATCCAGCCTGGCTATTCCTGTGGCCTCAGCCTACCTGGCTATAGTGGACTGAATGGTCATCTCCATGTCCTCACCCTGGTACCTGTGGATGTGACCTTACTTGGCTGTTCTTTGAAGATGTTAGTAAAGGAAGGGTTTACAATGAGAAAATCCTTGGTAACCCCTAAATCAAAAAGGTGTCCTCACAGGAAGAAGACACAGACAGTTGAGAAATGTAGAGATGATGTGAAGGTGAAGGCAGTTTGGAGTTGTGCTGCTATAGGCCAGTGAACACCAAGGACTGGAGTAAACAAAAACTGGAAGAGGCAGAATACGATTCTGCCCCAGGGCCTTAAAGGGACCGCTTCTCTGCTAACACTTTTGAGTTTGAATTTCTAACCCTCAGAACTGTGGGAGAATAAAATTCTGATATTCCAAGGTACCAAGTTTGTGGTAATTTGTCCCTGAAAATCCTAGAAAGCTAGATTAGCCTGCATGGATAAACTGGTGACTCCTGTCTGCCTCTCCTGACCAGATCTGCCTGGCTTTAAAAGATCAGAAGCTAAATAACATCTGAAACCTTGCAACCTCAATCCTTCACTTAGTCTCTTCTATATTTATTGTAAAAAAAAAAAAAAAAAAAGAATTATTTGTATGTAAAAATCAGTGCTGAAGAGAGAGACTTAAAATCAAAACATTGATGGCTCAGAGCTATCAGGGGTGAGTGTATAGTTACAACCAAGTCTTTGTGCTTTCTTTTTGAATCACTAATGGCTGTCTTGGGTACTTCTGCCTCTCCTCCCTGTTTTCAGTCTTCTCACCCTGGTTCTTGGAGAGCTCTGTCTCTCACTTAGGCTGCCATGCCCATGAAAAAAATAAAGTAAACACCTAGGGTGAAGAATGAAGCATTGTAGTCCATGGTAGTAGAATATGGTTGAGTTGGTTGTGGGTGCAAGATGGTGGTAATTTCTAATGAGGGTTCCCCAATATTACCTCAGTTAAAAATAATTACATAAAAAAGGGCAACTAAACATTCTCCTTGTCTTTTTGTCAAATATCTTGGTGGAACCCCACAGTTGATTTAGCTAAACTTTCTGTATTTGAGGCATATATTTCAAACAAATGTAGAACTAGTGCTATCACTGGTGCCCCAACAACAAAGTACTTTGCTTCACTGGACTTAGTCAGTTTCTTTGTTCCATTCCCTGTAGCAGCCTCTGTAAACCTGCAGGCTGTTTACCTGAGTAGATCCCTGATCTCCAGTATTCTTCCTAGTGTTAATAAAACACTATTAAACATCCCCAATCCACTATACACATACCTTCTATAAAATTACTTAAGTCATTAGTTGTGCTAATTGAAGAAAATGAGGTTATATTTATTCATTTAAAAGACATGTATGCACCTACTTTGTGTAGTTAATATTCTTGGTACTGAAGTGACGTTTTTGTGGAGTATGCATTTGAGTGATTCTGATGCTTTCAAATAGGTTACTTTAAAGCCTATCAGTGATGGCTAATGGTTTTATCAAAGTGACCTAAAATACAGGTTTTTACCAAACAAATTTTGAGTGGAAGGAATACAGTAGCAGAAACATAAAAATCCTGTCATGGAAATGTAACTCATGGATACAAAAAGGTTAGCATTCCCCAGCATAGGCTCTCTAAAGTAAGCGGACCTTAGAATAATTTGCTTTAAATAATAATAAATTCTGCATTACTAGATAATTAAATCATAACATGTCTTAGTAATATATTTAACACTAAATATTATAAAGTAACACTAAATATGTAAACATTAATCTGTTTAATTAGTAATTGTATGAACACAATATGTTTCCAGAAAACAAAATGTGTGGTGTTGACATTTAGAAAAACCACAAGTTTTATTATCAGGGTGTAATTTAAAGAATGTTAATCAATCTTAAAGACAGAAAGTCCTGAATTCAAAACTGATTTGGGGTCTTAGGTAATTCACCTTATTCAGATTACTATATTTTGGGATTGGTGATGGACTTCAAGTGTAGGGGTTTCTTGGGTCACTCTGAGAAAGAATTCATAGATGTTCCCATTCCTCCGTACAGAGCAAGTTTATTGAGAAAAGGAGAACAGGGAAAGAGAGATGCCTGCATAGACACAGGTGAGCAAAGGAATTAGGATGGAAGATATTGCCTTGGAGTCAGATTGGGTTGGTCTCCTAAAATGCAAGAAAGATCTTCTCTACCCTCACCTCTGGCTGATAATCTTTTTTGACCTACCTTAGATTCCTGGAATCTTTCCTAGCTGGAATGTTAGTTAAAATTTACTAAATTGGACCCTCCCCCCACCTCTGGTGTTTGTACTTATGAGACCGTGCATCCTAAATTTCTTTTACTCAAAATTTCCATCATTAGAAATATCAATTATTCCGGAAGTCTAATTGTAGCACCATTAGCAGATACTTTGCATATTTGCCTGATTGTATATTCTATCTCACATAGCCTTTGCCTATAAAAGGAACTTGGAAGTAGTCATTAGTGAAGTAGCCGGAGTCATAGATCATAGATCTTGGGTTGGAAGACAGAGCCTATATTTTCAACACTAATAATGATTTTCAGGAAACCATAGGTCTAGGGTTTCAAGGACGGCAAGCAGAGAAGAGCATCTTAATTTTATTAGCAGTGTTATCAGCCATTTAATAAAACATTTAAAGGACACAGTGACACTTTCATAGCAGGGAACTCATTTTCCTTAGTGAGAACCTGAAAGTGAAACTTGGTATGCATTGTTTTCTGTTTTTCTTTGCACAAAAGTTTTCAGCATTGTATGTTGCTTCCTTAGCTGATAAAACAATCTGTTAATAAACTCAAAGGCTAGGATTCCGCGTCCAGATAAGGAAACTATGTGCATAGAAGACATTCCTACCTTCTCCAAACAGCCAGGGTTAGATAAAAGGGCAGCCTTATGATACTTTGAGCCTAAACCCTCTGAATCAGGCACAAACGGGTTGGAGGAAACCAAGGTAGCACCTGGGAGCTGAAAGGAAAATGAAATTCCTGCAATCCTACTAAGCAAATCTCTTAACAGATCCTGAACAGTCACCTGGGCAGGCGAAATGAAAATGGTGGGGGGCCCGGGGTGAGGAGGGGGTGAACTCGAAGACAAGTGGGGCAGGACTCTGGTTTTGTGATGGTCACTAATGACTAGTTGTCTGTTAATGCTCAGGCCAGAAAAAGCCCTCCAGCCCTGCCCGGAGCGTCTACTGGGAAGAGACACCCCAGCGCTGGGCGCTAGAGCTCCGCGGCGCGAACGCAGGACCTCCGGGCCTGGGGGCGGGTCCTAGAGGCCGCTCTCTCCGCCCCCTGAGTCGCCGCCACCTCCCGGCTGCTCCGGTGCTCAGACGCGCCTGCATCCCAGTGGACTGTAGAGGCGGCAGCGAGCTGGAGTCCGCGTCGTTGCTCACGGCCACTGACTAGCGGAGAGAGACCCAGCGCGAGGGAACCTGCTGGCGCTGCTGGTAAGTACCGGGTGGGGGGCGGGAGTGGATGTCGCTAGGGTGAGGATCGCAGGGAATGGGCAGACTGAGAGAAGCAAACGAGGACGATGAGACAAGTGCAACTTTTCTATTTTCTACCCTGTCTGCACGACCGTGGGGCCGGCGGTGGGGGGTGGTGGTGACCCTTTGCTAAGGCGACTACAGCCTTCTCAGGTAATCTAGGGTGCTTTTAAGGTGATGTGGGCGCTCGGCCGCAACACAGGCCAGGAGGTCTGGTCACCTGTTTTTCATCCACTTTGCTCAACCCTGAAGATAGTGTTGCTGATCTATCTTAAGTTGCCGAACCTTCATCTCACACTCAGGCAGTGCCACGTCGTTTTCCTTCGGCTGAGCTTTCTCAGCCCCAGGCAGCCGCTGGAGGCCAGGGGTCAGCAGAGACCTCAGTTCTAACCGGTTCTACCAGCATGGAGCTGTGTGGCTTTGGCGAACTCACCTCACTTCACAGGTCCCCGTGTATTCTCTGATAAAATAGAGATGATTCGACTGGATAACCTCTAAAGTCTTTCGCAGCGGTTGGACTTTACCTGCTCCTAGGACACTGGCCGGTAGGTAGCCAGGGATGGACAGGTTGAAGGGAGTCCTGGGGGATTAGGGATGGAGGTCTAGAATTCTGATAGCTGCAGCTAAGCTACGCCTTT